GAGTCTGCGTGAAGTTAATGATGTCCAGTTAACCAATGAATACAGGGTGCAGTGGTGGGTACGATAATCACAGCCAGTTATGAATCTTAGTGCACCATGATAGACAGCATCCAACATCTGCAGGGTTCTTGTAGGAGCGTTCATGTAAATAATATCACCAAAATCAATTGAGGGAAGGAAAGTCACAGATACAAGGCGTTTTCTAGCATTCAGAGTTAGACAGGATTTGTTTCTGAAAAAGAAACCTAGTTTAACTTTCAGTTTCTTTACCAAGTTTTCCACATGGAGCTTAAAAGAAAGATGTGAGTCGACCAAGATACCCAAATATTTATAGGAATCAACAAACTCAATGGGGACACCATTTGAGGATAAAATCGGAGGAAGAACTGCTGGGACCAACTTCCTATTTGAAAAAAGCATCCCTTTGGTTTTTTCGGCATTTAGGACAAGTTTGAGGCGGAACAAATCTGTCTGGATGTAGTTGAATGCAGATTTCAAAAGCTGGAAAGCCTTAGCAACTGTTTTAGCTCGACAATAAACAACTGTGTCGTCAGCATAGAAATGTATGGATGCATTAGGGATGTTTTTACCTACATTATGTATGTAGATTGTAAAGAGGGTGGGTCCTAAGACTGAGCCTTGTGGTACACCATTGTTGAATGTTAAATAACTGGAGGAAGTACCATTATGTTGAACACATTGCCTCCGGTCTGAAAGATAGTTAGAAAACCAACCAATGGTGTGATCTGAGAAACCAATTTCTGAGAGTTTATGACACAAGATGTTATGATCCACAGTGTCAAAAGCTTTAGACAGGTCTAAGAAAAGTGCAGCACAATAATCTTTAGCATCCAGTGCTTCAACAACGTCATTAAGAACCTTCAGTGAGGCAGTGGTTGTGCTGTGTTGTTTCCTGAAACCAGATTGATGTGGAGGTAAGATGTTAAATGAGTCCAGGTAATTTTTGATTTGAGAGTTTATCAGTTTTTCTAGAACCTTGGCTAAAATGCAGAGTTTAGAGATTGGTCGATAGTTGTTCAGTGAGGTGGGGTCACCTCCCTTCAGCAAAGGAAGAACAAAGGCTGTTGTCCAAGTGTCTGGGATGGAGTTTTGTCTTATGGAGAGATTGAAGATGTGGGTCACAGGGACTGTGATGATATGAGCAGCCAGCCTTAAGAAATATGGTGGAAGTTCATCTGGACCTGCAGATTTTTTAGGATCAAGATCTTTTAACAGTTTATTGACCTCACTGACTGAGAATGGAGAAAAAGAGAAGGTGTGATTAACTGAGGATTGACTTGTAGGAGGGATTTGATTTGTAGAAGTTTGGTTATTAAGTGAAGTGGCTGATTTTTTGTTAGTAACTGTGTCAAATAAAGAACCAGAAGCAACAAAATGTTTGTTGAAACAGTTCAGGATCTCGTGCTTATTTGACACAGGAACAGAGTTAACGAGAAGTTGTGATGGGAGGTCAGATGATTGGGGGGTGCCTGAGAGAGATTTAATTGTTTTCCAGAATCTGTTAGGGTCATTTAGATTTTTGGAAGTCTGAGATAAGAAATAGTTGCGTTTTGCTTCTTTAACAGAAGTTGTACATTTATTCCTCATCTGTCGAAAACTCAACCAGTCAGTGTCTGAGCCAGATTTTCTCGCTGCAGCCCAAAGATGATCTCTCCTGTGCAGGAGGTCAGCTAGCTCTGGAGTAAACCAGGGGCTGTCTCGTCCCTTTATTCTGAACTGACGAAAAGGAGCATGTAAGTTCAGGAAATAAATGAAATTATTATGGAAATAGTTCCAAGCAGAGTTCACGTCATCAGTTAACAGAATACGATGCCAGTCAAAGTGAGACAGATCCCAGAGGAATGACTGTTCACAGAAATGTTTCAGATCCCTTTTTTTAATTAATCTGGGCTTAGAAGGTGGAAGTTTAATATTTCTTAAAGCCGCTGTCACACAATGATCACTCAAAAGATCAGCGAATACACCTGTACCAGGGAATTTGTGAGGCATATTAGTTAGAAACAGGTCTAAGATGGAGGAATTGTCAGGGTGGCTTTTATTTAATCTGGTGGGGGAGTCGATCAGTTGGGTTAAATTAAAAGAGAAGCAACATTCCTTGAATTTGTCACAGAGGGGGGTCGACTTACACCAATCAATGTTAAGATCTCCAGCTAAAAAGACCTCTTTGAATTTTAAATTACCAAGGAATTCCTTAATGGCATTTAATGCCTCAGGAGAAGCGGATGGTGGACGATAGCAGCAGACTACAGTTAAAACCTGGCCTCCATTCAAGGTGATGTTTACAGATAAGGCTTCAAACTGATTTGGAATTGTTTTGGAAGTCACAAGACTTGAAACCAGGGTATCTCTAATGTAAATAATGACTCCACCCCCCCTTTTTTGACGATCACAGCGGTAGATGTTAAATCCATTGATTGCCACGTCATTATTCATTACAGATTTGTTGAGCCAGGATTCAGAAATAAAGATAACATCTGCCCCAGAAGAACTGACCAGGATTTTCACAGCATCAAGTTTTTTCAGAAGACTACGAGCGTTTACATGCAGAAAATGAAGCCCAAAGGCATTTTTAAAGTCATTTGGTGTGCTGTAATTAGTCGGGGGTCCAGGGTTGGGCTGAATCCCTGAGAGCAGTAACAACATTATTATCAGACATTTCCTTGAGTTTTTTGTGACTGATGTGTAATTACAGGAGTTAACAGTGTGGCAATTATCCCCCATAATTGAACCATGAGAAACATTAATGAAGACGCGATCATTCAGAACCCAAAAACAGTGAAAGTTGCAGTGATGGACAGATTCAGGTGTATTAACAAGATTCAGTGACTCCAGATAATCTGAGAACTGAAAATAGTGACAGTAATATGAATGATGCAGAAAAGATTCAGACCATAAAATGTCACAGTTCAAATGGGCAAACAAACCCGACGAGTTGGGCCAACTGCAGTTTGAGTTGGGCTGAGGGGGGCTCCGGCCCCCCTGTGAAGAAGGATGGATGGATGGATGGATGCTCCCATGAGAAACAGAAGCTGGGTCCAGAATCAACAGGCCGAAACAGAAACAGAAAATTCACAGCAAATAGCAGAGCGAGCTGCCAGAAAATCCTCCTGAAGTGAAAGGCATGGTCCTAGCTCGTTTCAGGTCAACAGGGGCCAACAACGTGATCCGGAATAAAATTAATTATTATCCAGGTGAGTTTGGATGGAGGCCTGCAGCAGCTCCGATACAAACTCCGAACTTCACTCGAGCACCACGCAGCCCTGCTCCTCCATGCTGCTCCTCCACGCTGCTCCTCCGCTTCTCAGCACCCGACAGCACCGGGCACCCCCGGTGAAAAACGAGACTGACCGGAGAGGCTGAGGCTGAAGTCGGCAACTGGTCCGGTCCGGTTCTGCTCCAGTTCGGCTCCAAGCACGAGAGACGAAGAGGCTGAAGATATCCCTGGCCCGGTTTTGCTCCGGTCCAGCGGCCCAGTCTGGCAGCGCAGTTCTGCTCCGGTCCGGCAGCCCGGCGGCGCGGTTCTGCTCTGGTCTGGCGGCGCTTCAAAGCACCGGAGCGTCTCCTCCAGGTGAACACAACGACTCCACGGAGGTGGATCGTCCTTCAGTAAAAGTAACGGGCTGCTCACTGAAGCTGAGACCGGCTCTGTAGAAGATGAATTTCCCCACATCCACCTCGATTCGGTTCTGGTCCAATTTGAGGGTCACAGGTACACTTCCCCCACACCCATGGAAACACCACGAGGGCCAGTCCAGCTGAAAACCAGCGAAATACCACCCGGCGATATTTGTCGGAACCAGGTAGAACCACAAAGGTCCAGATAAGAGTTCGTTGAGGTCCAGAGAGAGAGAGAAAAAACACTGGACCTTCGTGCGTCGACTCCCCAGCTCGAGGGGTCACCTGGCCGGCAGGGTGCGCTCAGAGTGACCGATGGGGGGGGGAGCGGCCGATCGGTCCAGGGCCAAAATATTTTTTTTTTGGACGGTCCCGTCCGGCTCTCTGAGTCACTGAACACCGAATTCGGTTGGAAGGAGGACCAACTTTAGTCCGGTTCGAAAAACGGGTCAGTTTGATGATAAAAGACTGCAGAGAAGCCGGAGGGAGCTGCTGTCCATCAGCTCGCCGGAAGTGATGCTGATCACTTTTCCAATTTTACATTGGATAATGGAAAAATATGTAGAAGAATAAATCTTGACTGGATTTGAATCATTGGTTTCTCACATGGAATGGCATTGTTTTATTCATCACACCAACTAAGCTGTTAAACATGAGCATGAGATATCTATTTTTCTGACATTAGTGAGAAATCACTTGGAAACAACAACAAAAACAACTAACAACGAAGGGTATTTTGCTGTTCAAGGTCTCAGGTACAGCCAACATCTTAAAAGTTTGGCTTTACTTCTGAATATAAACCTCCAGTTCATTTTGAGTACCAACCAGTACAACTCATGACAAATGCTTTTGATTCCTTCAGTCTTGTCTCTGTTACTGGTATCTGTTCATTTTTTAACAGAATTATTTCATAAATGTCAGAATTCAGCCATCAGTCAGCAGTCCTTCACGGTGCCAAATGGCACTTTTAACTTTTATTTATGTACATGCTTCCAACATCTTTCAACTTTGACTTTAACCTCAAAGCAGCGGCCGAAACCTTGAGCCTACACATCACTATGAGGACCGCATAAACTCCAAAACCAGCTGCTCTGTGATGTAAAGATGCAAAAATTGAAAGCATTCAGTTCAACATACACGGCCACAAAGAGGTCTGGCAGGAGATTTAGGGAATGGATGAATGTGAATAAGTGTGCCAGCCTCATGTTCAACACTAGGGGCAGCCAAAGGCAGCATGTTGTGAACCGAGACATCTGTGAGCAAGCAGGGACCCAGGCACAAACTTTTCCCTCTGCTGCACACATATGCAGACAAACCCAAATACACTCAGATGGTCCCACAGGGAACATCTATCCTCCACTTACTCAAGAAAGCTGGTGATGTAGTCTTTGCTGCATGCAGACCAGGAGAAAGGGTTGGTGTTGGCTGTTATGTGAGCAGCCATCAGCTTGGCTGTTTCATGACCTTTGGTGCCACAGGAATTACCGATCCCATCATGGTTCATCCCAAAACTGAAACACACAAATAAAACTTGAATAAATGACATGGGCGGTGTCCAATATGCTTGTGAATCTTGTTCCACTCCTGTGTCATTGTTCAATAGTGATTGAACTATTGAACCATTTGTTTCATTATGTAACATATTTCCTAAATATGTTCTATACATGTCTCATTTTTATGTTTTATTATTTTTCTTCTTTCGGCTGCTCCCTTTTTCAGGGGTCGCCCCAGCAAACTAACTTGCACAAAGACTTATTGATTGTTTTTACGTTGGATGGCCTTCCTGAAGCAACCACAGACCACCAAGCTACCACAGCCCTCTGTGTGGAGCAGACAGCTGCCATCTATGGTACGTGGGGGAGCAGATGGTGGGGGTTATGGGCCTTGCTCATGGACCCAAAGTGGATCAAATGAGGGTGGAGCCAGGTGTGGGTGTTTCACCTTTCCTACCCACATTTTTGGTGTTGTCGATTCGGGGAGTTGAACCAGTGACTTTCTGATCACAGGCTCACCCTCTCTAACCTCTGCTCCACCACTCCATACACCCCATCACTACACTCCTATACATGTCTCATGTATGTAACAAATGTTTCTTAAAAATGTGATACATTTCATATATATCTCATATTTGTTTAGAGCTACATATACATCACACATATTTCTAATATTTGTCTCATGTATTTCTCAATTTGACATATGTCTTTTTTGTCTCATATGTGTTACATATTCCTGTCTTCTTCCTATATGTTTCATTTATGTCACATACAGTATATAGTATATGTCCCACATTGTCTCAAAATATCTCATATTTGTTTTATATGTAACAGATTACTCAAATATGTCCTGTATATGTCTCATATATTTAACATACTTTGTAATTTTCATATAGGCCATATGTGTAATTGTCCGGGTTTCAGGCAGGTCAGGACAGGAGAGAACCCGATTGAGCAGGCAGGACTCAGGAGGTAGACATACAAAATAAAATACTATAATAATAATAATAATAATAATAATAATAATAATAATGGAATGCGGAAGGTGGAATGTCACCTCACTGGTGGGGAAGGAGCCTGAGCTGGTGTTTGAGGCTGAGAGGTTCCGCTAGAAGTAGTCGGACTCAACTCTACGCATGGCTCTGGCTCTGGAACCAGTTTCCTTGAGAGGGGCTGGACACTCTTCCACTCTGGAGTTGCCCCTGGTGAGAGGCGCCAAGCAGGAGTGGGCATACTTATTGCCCCCAAACTTGGTGCCTGTGTGTTGGGGTTCACCCCGGTGAATGAGAGGGTGGCCTCCCTCCACCTATGTGTGGGGGGACGGGTTCTGACTGTCGTTTGTGCTTATGCACCAAATGGCAGTTCAGATTATCCGCCCTTTTTGGAGTCTTTGGAGGGGGTACTGGAAAGTGCACCTCCTGGGGACTCCCTTGTTCTGCTGGGGGACTTCAATGCTCATGTGGGCAATGACAGTGAGACCTGGAGGGGTGTGGTTGGGAGGAACGGCCTCCCTGATCTGAACCAGAGTGGTGTTCTGTTGTTGGACTTCTGTGCTCGTCATGGATTGTCAATAACGAACACCTTGTTCAAGCATAAGGGTGTCCATATGTGCTCTTGGCACCAGGACACCCTAGGCTGCAGTTCGATGATCGATTTTGTCATCGTCTCATCTGATCTGCGGCCACATGTCTTGGACACTCGGGTGAAGAGAGGGGCGGAGCTGTCCACACATCACTACCTGGTGGTGAGTTGGCTCTGATGGTGGGGGAAGATGCCAGTCAGACCTGGCAGACCCAAACATATTGTGAGGGTTTGCTGGGAACGTCTGGCAGAGTCTCCTGTGTGACGGAGTAGAACTTCAAACATGTTCCGAGGGAGGTGGGGGACATTGAGTCTGAGTGGACCATGTTTCGTGCCTCTATTGTCGAGGCGGCTTACCGGAGCTGCGGCCGCAAGGTTGTCGGTGCCTGTCGCAGCAGCATCCCTAGAACTCGATGGTGGACACCGTCGGTGAGGGATGCTGTCAGGCTGAAGAAGGAGTCCTATTGGGCCTGTTTGGCCTGTGGGACCCCGGAAGCAGCTGATGGGTACCGGCAGTCCAAGCGACATGTGGCTCGGGTGGTCGCTGAGGCAAAAACTCGGGCATGGGAAGAGTTCGGAGAGACCATGAAGAATGACTTCCTCATGGCTTCGAGGTGATTCTGGTCCAGCATCTCAAGGGGGGAAAGCAGTACGCCACCAACACTGTTTATAGTGGGAGTGGTGTGCTGCTGACCTCAACTCGGGATGTTGTGGGTCGGTGGGTGGAATACTTTGAAGACCTCCTCAATCCCACCGGCACGTCTTCCACTGGAGAAGGATTGGCAGACCGGGGTGGTGGTCCCCCTATTCAAAAAGGGGGACCGTAGAGTGTGTTCCAACTACAGGGGAATCGTGTTCTTAAGCCTCCCTGGTAAGGTCTATTTGGGGGTTCTGGAGAGGAGGGTCCGTCGGATAGTTGATCCTCGGATTCAGGAGGAGCAGTGCGGCTTTCGTCCTGGCCGTGGAACACTGGACCAGCTCTATACTCTCAGTAGGGTCCTGGAGGGTGCGTGGGAATTTGCCCACATGTGTGCCCACATGAATTTGCCCCCTACATGTGCTTTGTGGACTTGGAGAAGGCGTTCGGCCACGTCCCTCGGGGAACCCTGTGGGGGTACTCTGGGAATATGGGGTACCGGGCCCTTTGATATGGGCTGTTAGGTCCCTGTATGACCTGTGTCAGAGCCTGGTCCGCATCACCGGCAGTAAGTCGGGCTTGTTCCCATTGAGAGTTGGATTCCGCCAAGGTTGCCCTTTGTCACAGATTCTGTTCATAACTTTTATGGACAGAATTTCTAGGCACAGCCAAGGTGTTGAGGGGATCCGTTTTAGTGACCTTAGGATTGCGTCTCTGCTTTTTGCAGATGATGTGGTCTTATTGGCTTCATCAGATCGTGATCTACAGCTTTCGCTGGAGCAGTTCGCAGCCGAATGCGACGCGGCCGGGATGAAGATCAGTTCCTCCAAATCTGAGGCCATGGTCTTGAGCCAGAAAAGGGTAGAGTGCCCTCTCCGGGTCAGGGAGGAGGTCCTACCCCAAGTGGAGGAGTTCAAGTATCTAGGGGTCTTGTTCACGAATGAAGGAAAAATGGCGCGTGAGATCGCTAGGCAGATAGGTGCAGCGTCTGCAGTGAAGCAGGTGCTGTACAGGTCTGTCGTGGTGAAGAGAGAGCTGAGTCAAAAGGCGAAGCTCTCAATTTACCGATCGATCTACGTTAATAATAATAATAATAATGAATTTAATTTGTAACGCACTTTTCATTAACAAAAATCTCAAAGTGCTACAGAGTGCAACTAAAATCAATGATAAAATCAATCATGATCGATCTACGTTCCTACCCTCATCTATGGTCACGAGCTTTGGGTTGTGACTGAAAGAATGAGATCTCGGATACAAGCGGCCGAAATTAGTTTTTTCCACAGGGTGTCTGGGCTCTCTCTTAGAAAAAGGGTGAGAAGCTCGATCATCCGGGAGGGACTCAGAGTAGAGCCGCTGCTTTTCCACGTTGAGAGGAGCCAGGTGAGGTGGCTTGGGCATCTGTTTAGGATGCCTTCTGGACGCCTCCCTGGTGAGGTGTTCCGGACACGTCCCAGTGGGAGGAGGTCCAGAGGAAGACCCAGGACACGCTGGAGGGACTATATTTTTTGGCTGGCTTGGGAACGCCTCGGGATTCCCCCGGTAGAGCTGGCCCAAGTGGCTGGGGAGAGGGAAGTCTGGGCCTCCCTACTTAGGCTGCTACCCCCGCGACCCAACCTCGGATAAGCGGAAGAAAATGGATGGATGGATGGATGGATAATAATAATAATTCAAAAGGCTGACATGGCAGCAAACTTACAAAATAGGGTCAGGACTGGATCAGACTAGCCAGGACAGGACAGGCAATACCCAACGATGAACCGACAAAGGACAGGACTCACAGACAGACTATATACACAGACAGGACATGACATAATTACAAACAGCTGGTATGAGACAAGGGTGAAATTAATTGGATAATTGATGAGACACACAAGGGAGTACAGACAGATGGCCCACAAGATGGCACCATCCCTACAGGACCCCTCAGCAGACGCTGGACCCTCAGGCTGAGGTGAGGACCCCTCAGCAGACGCTGGACCCTCAGGCTGAGGTGAGGACCCCTCAGCAGATGTTGGACCCTCAGGCTAATGTGAGGACCCCTCAGCAGACGCTGGACCCACAGGCTGAGGTGAGGACCCCTCAGCAGACGTTGGACCCTCAGGCTGAGGTGAGGACCCCTCAGCAGATGTTGGACCCTCAGGCTGAGGTGAGGACCCCTCAGCAGACGCTGGACCCACAGGCTGAGGTGTGGATCCCTTCGCAGGCTGTAGGCTGCGGACTGGCTACTGCAGGTTTTGGACAGGCTACAGGTTCTGGTACCACTACAGGTTCTGGACAGGCAACAGGTTCTGGTACCACTGCAGGTTCTGGATGACCTGCAGGTTCTGAATCTTCTGCGGCAGGTTCTAGGTTCAGAGCAGGTTCTGGGTTGGCTTCTGCGGCAGATTCTGGACCAGCTGCAGATTCTGGATGACCTGCAGGTTCTGAATCTTCTGCGGCAGGTTCTGAATGACCTGCAGGTTCTGAATCTTCTGCGGCAGGTTCTGGGTTCAGAGCAGGTTCTGGGCTGGCTTCTGCGGAAGGTTCTGGACCAGCTGCAAGTTCTGGATGACCTACAGGTTCTGAATCT